TGGACACAGTATTCCAGGTGAGGCCGGACCAAAGCAGAATAGAGTGATCATGGTGTCTCCCCTGCCAGGTAAGTGAGTGACTCCGGGGGAATGGCGTCCTGAGAGGTTGCAGGGCTAAGGAGCTCTGCTCTGCAAACTCGTTTAATGAGCTATAAATGGGAATTTTTTTTTCCAACAACTGAATTTCACCAATTTCAAGACCCTCCGGTAAGAGGGACTTCTGGAGCCCGATGGGGGTCTGAGTAAATGGTGGACTTTGGGAGTAGAAAGTGGAGGAAAGAAAACCAAACTCGGACCGCAGGGCAAGCCAGGCTCATTAAATGCTAGCCTTTAAGGTAAACAAGGACGCTTTTATTTCACCCTTTTAAAGCAAGCTATTTTTGCAGAACATATATATAAATAGCTAGAAAAAGCAAGTGATTTACCTCTACAAAAGAAATTTTCTTTTCATTAATTGGACTCTGATATTCTGAAGAAATGAAAGAACCACAATGAGTAAGGTGCAGATGGAAAGTTAATCGAAAGTGAGCAAGTAATCAAATAAAGGAATCTATGGAAGCTAAATTGTGGAAAGAGAGAGAGGGTGGAGGATAAGAAGGACACAGGAGGAAAATACTGTTTTGTTTTAAAGCTCTGGGACTCAAAGCAGCTTACAATTTAAAGTAGTACAATTAAAAACATATAAGAGGAGTATTAAAATATATTAAGGTGAAGATTAAAGTTGATATAAGTGGCACTAAGACGACTAAAAGAAGAGAAGGTACCTTTAAATTTTTTGGCGTGGGCGCAAACCGAATCCACCTGGTGTTTCCAGGGGAGCAGAGAGAACAGAGCGAATACAGTGATATATAGAGCGGCGTTATTTTTTCCCTGGCCCAGTGGGGTGGAGCCCTTTGAAGAGAAAGAGCCATGGAGATCTGAGAAGCCTCCTGATCCTGCGACAAGCAGCAGCAGCGGGGGAAGGAGAGGACCATCAAGGCCCTCCAGCCTAGCAGCGAACGGCAGCAGGACCGAGGCCTTTTTGGCCTTTTTAGCTGCTGCATCGCACTGTTGACTCATGTTCAACTT